GGAGGGAACGGGTCAGTTTGAGCGGCTAACTCTAAGCTTAACTTTGACTCTCGGGTGTGTAGAAACCTTACGCCAGGGGCCTTCAAACTTGACAGCTTTAAGACTTGTGGACTTCAACTCCCAGAACTTCTTCTCCAGTCATGTTAGCTCAGGAGTTCTGAGAGTTGAAGTCCACAAGTCTTAAACTTGCCAAGTTGAGGACCCTTGCCTTACCCGGAGAGAATGCTTGTTCTTGGGCCCAGGACGTTTTAGTAAGTAAACCACCTGTGTTGAATGTGCCATTTGGCTTTGAACTTCCGAGCCAAGGCTTGGCAGGGCTCAGTCCCATAAGAACAACAACAGCTGTGTCCGGAGGCGGCGCTGGCTTTTTGGGCTTTACTTAGCATTTACTTTATAGTAGGTTTACCTTGAATTGAAGTGTGGATGCCAGTCAGTTTGGAATAATCGCTACAGCCCTATCCCAGAAACCAAGAGACTGAGAATTATAGTCCCACCTTGGGCACAAAGCTAGTTTGGTAGCCGCTTAGGCCAGTCAAACGTTCTGGGGAAGAAGCAACAGCAAACCACTTTTGAAAACCATGCTAAGAAACTGCAGAAGTTTGTCTCAGCAATCAACAGGTGTTAATACTGACACACAGGTCACCGCCTGTACACACACACACACACACACACACAAGTTTTGTGTTAACACAGCCTTAAGCTGGTGGAGCATGGCTGGACTACCAAAGTCTAGTCAACATTAAGTGACACCAAACTTACCGTTTCTTGCAATAATTTTCTCTTCCAAAAGTTATTCAGAGTCTTGTGGCTTAAATAGAGGATCCTAAAATGTATGCAGATGAATTTGTGTACTAATTGCCACTGATATCTGAGCTTTTATAACATGCTAGGCTAAAAGATGCTTGGCTGACTTGTGGTTGAATAGGTTATGCAGATTCAGCCAAAATGGTTTGTTTAGCGCAGACATGTTCAACTTGTGGTCAATGGGCCACATGCATCCGTAGACAGCTAATAATGTGGCTTCACAAGATTGTGAAATTTTAATATATGATTTTATATTATAAAAATCATATATTTTATATGTGGCCCAAAACAATTCCTCTTCACTTAATGTGTCCCAGGCAAGTCAAAAGATTGGGCACCCATGGCTCAATGTGTTGATTTAATTTAAGCAAATGAATTAAATTTAGGAAAAAAAGTTTCAATTAACCATTGCTTAATACATTTTATGAAAACAGGAAATAAAGAATTTTAAAAGGGAGCAGGCCATAACTCCTCTCCTTTTGAAAACTAAGTACTAGTGCGGTTCCAATGTTATATGCTTTTCTACAATGAAATTAGCCAGAATGGGTTTTTTGGCCAAGGCTTGTCTTCCTCTGATCATAACTTGTTCTTGTGGTCTGCATATTGTTCCAAATTATGACTTATTTTGAAAATGACTTAGTTGTTATAACATACTAAACCATAATGTAAAATTGGGGATGCAACTTATTAGCAATTTTAAAAATGTGTGTTAATTTACAAAAAGGCTGGTACAAGAACCATAGCTGGTTGTGAAAATTCATTTACTGGAGGAGAATTAGCTATCTAGGATGTTTTCCACTGGGCAAGAAAACTTTCTGCAAAACCAACTATCCTAGAAGCTATTGTGTAGCTATTTTGAGAGTCAGTTCTGTCAGTTTGCCACAACTTAATTTTCTGAACAGGAAGCTGTTCCAGGTATGCTCCAGAAGCCAAAACTGAAAATAGCTAGTTCTATAACAGTGTTGAGGGCTTTTAGAACAAACATGAGTGATTCTATTGAGAATTACTGAATGATGTTTTTTTTGTCTTTAAATCTCCATAAGCATTCTTTTAGGAGAAGAATGGGACTCAAGGTGAACTGGTGCAATGCTGGTTTTATTCACACATTTTGCTAAGCCCAATTTTTTTTTAAAAAGGAAATCATAGTTGAGGAAACTATTGTGGCATGGATCATATATAACATTAAGCTATAATTAGTACTTCACATTACGGCACTAAATTTATGTGTGAACTAGAAAATTGCCCTGAGCTTTCCATGAAGACTGTTATATGGGGGTCTTCATAATTTACAGGAGGATATTAACATAGGAACTCCATTCCCTTTTGCTGATATTGGCAAGTGTTCAAAGAATTAATGGCAAATATTAAATTCCAGGAATGACACTATTATGGACTATTGCAGAATTAGTAACATAGCTTCCTGGTCTCAAATTGCATAAAGTCAGTTTTGTTGTTTATACTGCAAAAGAAAAGAATGAGTGAGGGGTAACTTGTTTTCTACATACTTTGTTAGGTATCCCTGATGACAATATTCAAAATAGGGATCCCAAAAGAAGAATCAACAAGATTGTTACCATGCATGCTACCCAGTTGACTTATGTAACTAAGAAAACAAGTCAGTTCAAAGCTTCTGGTAAGCTGTAAGATCAGGTATGTATCCTTCAAGGAAGATATTATTCCTCTGTATACCAATAATATATATTTTGAGAAGAATATTTTATGTGGTGTTAGACCATGCATAATATTCAGCAACTCTAAAATATTATAGTCTAGCTGAATGAAAATATGGTGGTGGAATTCTACAGTTGGTGAAAGGCAATGCCTATTTCAATGGCTTCTTGTCTAGTGTTGTATATCCTGTATCACAATAAAATATATTAATATGTGATTGAGCATATTGATATTAGAGCAGTTTCTAGAGAGTAACAACCAAAGGGAATTCTACCCCCTGCCATTCAGAAGGTACTTGGTTAGCCAAAATGTGACAAAGAAACCTGGATCTGATTAGCTATTGCTTGGCAAAGCTATTCTTATATTCTTAAAAGAATCTGGTATACTAAACGAGTGATGACAAGCCATCCATCAAAAATATATCAGATGCAGTAACACAACTTCATAATGAGCCCAAAGGGACCTTCTTATAGAAATAATACCTACAAATTAATGCATTGAACTTCATAATGTGGTTTTAAAGTAGGAGTGCACAATTTTTTAACAGACGAAAGGCTTCTGTAGTCTTTGAATAATGTGCTGTGGTCTGCACTCCCCCCCATGTGTATTTTTAATGTATTTTTTACACAAAAATATAAATACAATTTATATTTACATTTAATTAAGATTACAGTAAATCAGTAGTGGAAAACCCTTAATAACCCATGGACAACTCTGAGGATTCCCCAAGGCAAATCACAAAATTAAGTGCAGGCATTAATTCAGGCATTTAATGCCCATTCTGGCATTAAATATATACTAAATAATGTTCCTTTCTACCATATGAAAATGTATCTTAAACTATAGGTCCCAAATCTCCTGTGATGATCAGCGTGTGATTATTATTGAAGTGGTCATCTGACCCTCAAGGGAACTCCTTTCTCTTTAATCTGAATTAGATATTTAGATCAGAAGACGAAGGTTGTAAAGGCCAGATATTGCTTCTTCTTGCTTATTTTGAAATAGAGTTAGGAGAAGTGTTATCAAGAGACTCTTCTCTACAGATCAGCTGAAATGTCACAGGTTGAATGCCTTGCATTAGTTAGTTATTAATTGAGATTAATTCTTGGTCATTGCACATAGACAAATGCCTCAACCTGCCTAGTAATAATTAGTAGGTCTTCCAAGGAGTATTCTGTAATTTCTTGGATCTTGCTTGTCAGCACTTGTCGAAGCGCGTTGCTTGGAAAGAGATGAAAAAAGTTCTACCTTATTGTACTTGTAGAAATTCTTTCAAATTGGCTCAATCCACCTAGGAAATCCATCAAAGTGGTTTCATTCTTCAAACTTTTTTCTTTCTTTCCTCCTCAGCAATGTACACTTGTGGCCATAGCTTCATCTTATGAAGCTTAATAATGCAGTTCAAAAATGCAAGTTTTACTCTGCAAAATATCAGGATGGTGGTTCTTTCTTTTAACATGAGAAGGAACTTTACTTTTAATCTCTGTTTCCAGTTGGTGATACTGGATGGAGTTCTGTCACAGAACCTGCTATGGACTGCCTAATTTAGAAAGTTCCTTTTGATGGGGTAGAGAATATTTTTTTACCTTCGACTGCTAGTCCAGCTAGCATTAGTACATGGGACACCTACTTGTATTAAGCAGCAAAATGCCTGGGCCCCAGACCTGGAGGATGCACAAGTTGTAATTCTATTTTTCCTCCAATTATTTCAGCTACTAGTATAACAATTTGAACATGTAAATTAAAATTTCCTAGTTGGGTGCATTGTATTGCTTTCCCTCCAGAGTAAGCACCAAGCCTTTTTTAAAATTTGGCATTCTGAACTTTGAGAACTTTAATATCTGCCTTGGGACATATTCAAGGAGAAAATACTGAGAATGTTCAAAGGTCCATATGGCTTGGAAAAAGTATTAATCAGAGTCTACAAATTGGAGTGAAGGTACTGAGGAAAATAAGTTCCGGGGTTGTTGTTTTTTCTTTGTCTTTTTATAGTCTAATAATAGAAGAAGGCTAGAAGAAAGGATCTTGTCATTGAGATTCAGTAGCTTGCAACCATGCCTTTTTGGAAATTTCCTTCATAGATGGAACTAATAAAATTTTGTGCATTTTTCTGCCAGAAAACCTGTTCAACAGATTTCACTACTTGCTTACGGGAAATCAGGAAGTGGAGATAAATGACAGGGTTCTCTTGGAAGAAAATAATCCTTCATTGCCTCCAGTAAAAATGTAAAAAGTAATTTGGGAACCCAATGCCCACAAGCCATCCAATAGGCCTGTTCTAATAATTAGTTCAATGAGAGATAATTAGCTGAATGGAAAGTAATAAATTATGCTCTCAGAATTTTCCTTCATGCTTTTCATTCAGCTGCTTCTTGCAGATATAAAGTTTTTATTCTTCAGGGGAAAAAAATCCCTCTATCCTTTATGAAATTGCTCACTCATTATGGGTGGAAAGCAGTATATCCTATCCACACACCTTGAATGCACACAAAACTTCTTCTAAGCTGCCTACCCATGAGAGACACTCAGCTGGGAATGTGGATCCTGGGCTGGTCAAGATTATCTTCTACTTTGGAAATAGTAACTTCTGTTATCCCTGGATCTGGCTTTTGCTTATTAAATTGTAGGAATTTTTCCATTAGGTTTGCTCCTAGGTTGAATATCAGAGCAAGCCAGGCTAAACCAAAAACAATCCAAATTGCTGCCAAGCTTCGGTACACTGAAATATAGTGCTTGCTAGGATCAGTGCCTATGGAAACAAAAAGAGAAAGGGAAACTTAATTTCTCAGAGCTGAATACCTGGAAAAGTATTCTAATAAGCTGAATATGGTGCACACATATACAAGCATACTTCAGAAGTGGAATTGCTTTGGAACATACAAGGGAAGTGAATGCAGCTCCTGTTCAGAGCAGTAACATATTTTTTCAGACTTCTGCAGGAGCTTTCAAAAAGTGCAGTTCCTTAAATCATTCATATCAATGACCGCTGTTTTAATGAGCTATTGCATTAAAGCAGCTGAGTCTTATTTCATCTTTGCATGGAAGCCTGAAAAATATATTGCTGTATTAAAAATGTGTAGGTTCCAGTTATTCAAAATACCTCTTACCACTATTTCCCTTTTGCACATATAGATAGAACAAACTTGGTGGATTGCCTGTGCCCCCCCCCCCCCACATCTTAAGGGAGATATTAAAAAATGAATACAAGCTGTTTCCTATGTACATCTTGATTTGCAACTTCTATTCATTTTATAAGGCGGTCGCTTAGCCTCTTAAATATTGCAACTGGCTATGTTTCAATCCACATGGAATCTTCCTTCTTCATAGCCCTTGATTGTCCTAGGACCTTCTTATTCTATTGACCTCAGCATCAGAAGCTGCCTCCCTTCAGTTCACTCCATCCAGCCCACCACTTCCTCATCCCACAGGCAGAATTGTTTCAGGATCTAGGGCAGGAAAAAGAATTTATTCAGTGCATTTGCTTCCACCTTTTTTTTCTTGAGATAAAAGTAGTGTACGTGAGGGTTTGCCTGGATTTCATTCTTTTAACATTCCTGTGAGTTTGGTTGGAGTGACTTGCCTGAAATCACCTGATGAGCTGCAAATTTTTGGCAAGACTTGAATCTGGAGTTCTCCACTCTGGAGTTCTCTACTCTGCACTCCCCTGCCCTTTGCTTCTGTCAGTGGAAGATCATAAGGTCTCTTCTGCACAAATACTGCCATTGAATTATCTCTCTTCCCCATGAGCTGAAGGAAGAAGAGACTAGTATGGAATTGCGTAGCATCTCAGCCTCATCCTTTATAGTGCTTGTTGGAGAAGAACATTTGTCTATAGAATAGTTTCACATCATGCAAACCAGAAATGCAGGAAGTATGACTTAGGGAAAAAAGAGGAAATGTATAATTTTTTTTTAAAAAAAACACCCCTTATTTGTGTCTATACCATGTAATTTGTGAGTTTTTACGTCAGTCGGAATTGCAATGTCAAATTTCAGGTAAAAATGAATGTCAAATTGATGCTGCCCAATGAGTTGCAACTTGATTTACTGCAGGAAATACTGCTGGAATAGAAAATACATTCCTTTTCCTTCAAAATAAATGTAATTCTAAACAGTTTTGTTTATCTATAGAGAAGAAGCAAATAAACCACCGATGTTTGTCAGCATTTTTATTTCTTACTCAGCTGCAGTCAGTAACGGATTCTGGTCCTTTTAAAAGCACTTTGTCCACATTAAAGCACTCTTGTGTGTGGCATGTTTGGAGCCTGGTGTTTTGTACAACTATCTCCTCACTATGTAGATTAATATCACTTAATAATAATAAATTATTTTAAAGTCTAGTCTGTCAGTGAAGTGTTTGTAGAAAAATGGCAGCCACAATGGGGAACTTGCCATTTAAAGAAAAGTAAGTTTTTTAAAAGCTAAAATCTAAAGTCAGTTTCCTTGTGAGAGAACTCACAAGATACCAGAGATACATTTGCCCAAATATAAAGTGTGTTACTGCTGAATATGGAGCGATTTTAAAATGTGTTTGAATTCTTTACATGCAGAGATACTTGCCATGTGCATCTGATTTCTTTTTTAATCTTTCTTAAAAAAAAGTAAGAACCTGTATTCTTGACTCCTAATGGAGTGATTGAATAAGTGAACAAAAAAGTACATTATAAATATAATTTACATGCCATGGCCATGTTATAAGTTGTTATAAGTGTCACAGATTTCTCTAGAATTCTTTCTAATCAATGCTGTGTGATGGGCTGTGTGGGCTTACTTACAGCACTTAACTACTACTTTTATTATTACCTACTACATAATCTCCAAATCCAATGGTGCTGAGGGTGATAAAGGTGAAGTAGAAGCCTTCTCCATAACTCCAGCCTTCAACATAACTGAAGATCATTGGTGGAAAAACCAGGAAGAGTAAAGTCCCAGCCATCAGAAATAATAGCATGGTTAATGTCTGCATCACCTGAGAAACATAAGGATGGGATGGTTGTTCAACAGTGCTATGCAAACAAGACAGCTATTTTCAATAGTCCCCAAATGGTGTTTAGCTGAGTTCAGTGAGATACCCTCACACCTGGCCTGCATAGTTATTTTAAATTATTGGCATGCCTATTATTTCAGAATGCAGTGCTTTTTCTATTTGGTTATCAAAGAGTAGAAGTAAGTATAACAGAATATTACATTCATCCACATGAAAGCCCAAATCACACTGGAGATTAGCTGGGCTATCTTTGACATGATGCTTAGACATATCAAGGAGAAGCCACAATTGGATATATTCAGTTACATTTCTGACATTGGCAATACATTTGAGGAAGAGTAGACTTAGAAGTAATTTAAAGGTGTGGGTTGATACCTGATCATTTGTGGGAGCCAACCTTATTGAATTTAAAAGCCACTTCTGAAGGATACTATATAAATTAGTGGAATTTGCAAACCTTTAAACTTACAGTCCAAAAGTGAGGGAAAGTAGCCTTCATGGAGAGAATTGATAGCTGTCAACTCTATTACTTAGAATTTTCTATATATTGAAGCACTGCAAAAACATTTGGGGTAGAAAAGTTAACCCAAACCTTAACATGTATGAGTTTATGGTCCCATTTCTGTTCATTTCTACAGAAGGTGGAGGCCCTCTATCCACACGATGCATAGTAGTTGTATAGGCAACTCAAGTCATAGCCTCTTTGTGTCACAAAGTAAAAAAAAAATTGAGATAATTTTAAAATCAAAACATGAAATTGATACCAACATGAAATGTCTCTGGTTCAAAGGGGTAGGGTTGAAGAAATGCGTCCATAAGTTATTAAGGTAAAAGCAAAAATTAGGAATCAGTGGGAACTGTGGAACAGCTTGGAAAGATTCTTGACAGTAGAGAAGATTGATTGATTAGTAGACAGCCTCTCATCAGAAAGCATTGAATGGAGCATTCCTAGAATATGATAGTTGCAATGTTGAATACCAGTCACTTTGTATGATGTTTTCATGAAAATGTGGGTGAAATTTCTGATTTGTATATTGTGTAGCTTTGCAAAACAAAACAGAACTTCTTGAATATGGCTTCTTTCCATATATTTCCAGAAAAGAGGAAATAATTCTCAACACCACTCTCCCAAAAGGTACAGCAACAGAAAACTGTTATTCAGTACCAATGCTAAATATTCAAGAACTGCTTTTCCTTTGAACTCCTTTTGAACTCATTTTCTGCAAGGTAACAACACCATGCAAGATTTCTACCTACCAAGATTCTGGATCGCTAGGAATTTTGTTCTCCTAAATCAAATAGAAGAAAATCCAGTTTTTAGGAAATATAGGAAACTGCCCTTCCCTCTAAATTATGTCCTTAAATGTAAAAAGCATTTTATAGAAGGAAATATCATGAATCATCTACATTTTAAAAATGATGTAATATGAATTTTTTTTCTTGTTGAAATGTACAGAAAGCATAATGGACATTGCTATCTATGACTATTCTCCCAGGCAAGTACATCCCTCAGTCAAAGGCAGAGGCCCAAAGAGTTGTGTAACAATTTTGTCTTCACCTGTTTAGGAATTCAGCCAAGCTTTATACCATCATTAGCAGAATATTTATAATGCCTCTTCCATGTTCCCTGATTTCTGGTGGGGAAATGTATAACTTACGAAACACTCTATCTGGGTTAGGCTAGCTTTCTGATCTGGCATTTCTTTCTCTTAAGTACCGGTATTAAGAAAAATTGTAATAAATCTTGTAATGTTTACATCTTGCAACATAAGGAATTTTGCTGTGCATCTTGCCCAATTTATGTACTGTAACTCATGTAAATTGCCTGGCAAGTCCTTTTAAAACACATGGAATCATCCTCTTATTCGTGTAAAAGTAATTATCAATGTTTGGACACAATTTTTAACAGAGAACCATTTTTCAAAGGCTGCCAGGGAGAGATGTGTGTTGGGGGGGGGGGGGTGTCCTTTTTTTGACGGGAGTTGAATGTCCAGGTTTGCTGCTGATAAATACATGGTGGATTCTTTCATAGCTCTATATGTGAAGGGAGAAAGACACAGGTTACCCTAAAGCTTATAGGCTCCCTTATTACATTTTATTTCATTGCTATGAAACAGAAATAGTTTGATTATCTGGGCATATATTATAAATAGCCCTTAACGTACAAGCACAATTGAGACCGGAACTTCTGTTGCTAAGCAATGCAGTTGTTAAGTGAATTGCACCTGATTTTTACAATATTTTTTTGCCATGGTCAATAAGTGAATCATGGTTGTTAAGTGAAGCTGGCTTTCTCATTGAGTTTACTTGTGGGAAGCCTCCCAGGGAAGATTGCACATTGCGATCAAACAGGACACTACAGCTATCATAAATACATATGGGTTGCCAAGTGCCTGAATTTTGATTAGGTGATTGCAATGACATTGAAACGGTTGTTTGTGTGAGGATTGAGGATAAGTGACTTTTCAGCACTTTAACTTTGAATGGTTTTTAAACAAATGGTTGTAAGTCGAGGACTATCAGTACTCTGCTGCAATTATTTTTTTACAAAAACAAGAATTCAGAGGCATATTATATACTCAGAAACATGAAATGACATGGAAATGGATATCAAGGCTAAAGAAGGACAGCATGAGTGGCCCTCAGTATCCTTGGTTATGTCTTTGTCAGCTTCTTGCTTCAGTGTCCTATTTGCATATGGGCTCCAGCAGATTATGCCAAGGTGCTGGGTTGGTTAAAGCTGTTTATCCTCCTCCACAATCCACTAACTTAATAATGCTGATTTTCCATATTTGTAACTATATAGCTTTAGTCATATGGCTCATGGAAATATCCATATATTTAACTAGCCAAATTGCCACAGTCTCTTATCTAGGCTGCCAGTTTAAGATGTAAGATAACTTTATTGTCTCTGATACCCCATTGAAATTTGAAAGTATTAGGAAGTAGCACAGAGTTTTCCAACCTGGAGTCCTACAACATTTAAGATATGGTAGTTGTTATGCCATTTATGAGGAGTTGGAACAACTGAAGTAGTGAAAACCCACAAATAAACTCCTGTGTAAATTTTATTCTTGAGCCTTTTCTCAGGCTTCAAAGGACTATAAAGTCCTATCCATAATGTCAGTTAAAAGAAGTAAGATGTCTGTTGACCTCCAGAGTCACAGATGAGGTGATAAATGAGTCAATGCACAGTTCGCTCTTAATATTATGGCTGATGAGAGTATTGAAACCAGTGGTGGTATTCTATTGGTTCGGCCCTGTTTTGCCGAGCCATTAGCAATGATGAGCAGCAGAGATTGAACCAGTTCTCTCCACTGCTCTGCTGTTGGGCCCACCCACCCACCCGCCAGGCTCCCATATTCACCATTATCCTCTGCTTTTGAAGCACAACTGCTTTGTATGGCACAGCAGAGTGCTGCACGGCAGCTGCTAAAATGACCAGGATAGTGCAGGTTTGCAGGAGGTGAGTTGGAATGCCTCTGCGCCTGCACAAAGTGCATGTTTGGCAGTGTGCACACACAAAATGTGTGCACGCGTGCAAAGCGCGCCCACCAAGCCACCCACCCACCCACCGAACTGGTTGTAAATTTTTTTGAATCCCACCACTGATTGAAATACATTGTTACTATATTTTTGAATTGCTATCTTCAAATGCCCACTCCCAATTTTTTGTGTTCAAATTACTGTAGTTATGTGGAATGAAGAAAGAATGATATGTACATACCCTCTCTTTATTCCACATCTATGATATCTGAAAATCATATTACACATCTTCAAAATTATACATGACAAAAAAGTCTATCAAGCATTCAGGACTAAGTAGTATGCACCACTGCAGAGCAAAGTATAGGGAAAACAGAGATGAAGGTGTTCAAAAGAAATTGAGAAAGTGATATTCTTCTTTGGGTTAAATGCTGGCCTGGCCATCTAGGGTTTCTGTGTTACCTCCTTATATTGCTTGTATCCAGGAGTGGGATTCAATTTTTTTAACAAACAGTTCTGTGGGCGTGGCTTAGTTGGTGGGTGTGGCTTTGTGGTCATGTGAATGGCTGGGTGTGCCCAACTCAACATCACTCACATTGAGGCACGCATCTCCTCGCCTGGCCTCTCATGACTGTGGGGATGCTGCAACAGCCGTAAGTGTGAAAAATGGTCATAAGTCACTTTTTTCAGTGCCATTGTAACTTTGAATGGTCACTCCACATAAGCAAAGTACCAGCAAAGGAGGGGGAAAAAAAAACCTCCAGAGATGTTCCTGAGACAGGAAGTCTAGTCCTGTCAAGAATGTAATAAGGGTTAACGGAGAGGCAGTTTCTGTAAGCAACACCACAATGTTTCCTTCCTGCCTTCCTGACAGGATTAGGCCAGTAATTTCTTCTAACAACCGGTTCTCTGAACTGCTTAGAATGTTAACAACTGGTTCTAGCGAATAGGTGCGAACTGGTAGAATCCTACCCCTGCTTGTATCCTTGGTTGCTGCAACTTAGCTCTTTGTAATGACTCCACTTCTCCAATTGATATAGGGAATCCTCAACTTAAGATCATCCTGGAGCCTAGAATTCGTGATGGCTATAAGTTGAGACAACCCTGTGACTGGACCCAATTTTATGCCTTTTTTTGTGGCAGACATTAAGTAAGTACCACCATTGTTAAATGAACACAGTGGCTGTTAAGTGAATGTGACTGTCAAAAAATGTCATAAATTATGGTCACATGACCATGGAATACTGCAGTTGGCCATATTGGTGAGCAGTTTGCCAAGCTCCTGAAATACAGTCATGTGACTGTGTGTGCGCTCAGATGTTGGAACTGTACAATTAGGGTGTCAGAATCTCTTGGGAACTCCATCATAACTTTAAACACTTGCTGAGCAACTGGTTATTAAGTGAAGACTACTTGTACTTTTCTTAGCATCCCATAGTTTTAGATTGTATCAACATATTGTGTCTTCTGAGCTTTTATCAAGAATGTATAACTTGATATAACCTTCAGAAGTTCAAATCAACAAAGTCTTCTGTTGTCCTGGATGGGCATCTGTCCAAGTTACTCTCATGTGTCCTATGAATATATGAAAATCACCTCTGTAATGTGTTATAGTAATAAATGAGCAATTGTACCTGAGCTCGCCCTGACTTGTGGACCCATCCGTCCAGGTCAATCAGGTGTGTGCTGAGTCCTTTCCCCAACCGATTAAGAAATGCCAAATTAAGAGGGACCCCAAACAAAGCATAAAATACACAGAAGACCTGTCCAGCTACTGTACTGGGGGACAAGTTCCCATAACCTACAGGAAAAAAAAAGAAATCAAAACTCTTAATAAGTCTCAATTTATGTGCAAAAATTATTTTATTAAGAGAATTCTGTTTATTCTTCTTTCGTATCTCATCCTATTTTGATCATTTTGATCCAGCCAAAACTAAACGCTTGCAGAATCTTTATTGTTTCTATGATTAAAATTATGGGGATTTTAACACGGAACTTTGGCTGGTTCATGCACTTTTTGATGTAATGAATGCCCAAAAGCAGATTTTACAAATACACAACTGATACTGTATATTCTGTAGACAAGACAATTAATCATAGGGGGAAAAAAATCACATAAAAATGGGTGTAGTTGAATATAATGGCTTTTAAAATACTTCAAAGTCTGAAAATTTTCTGATGCAGATTTGCAAGCAGCTTAGTATCATCAGTCACACATGATTCAACCTAAAGTATTATGGAAATCTAAAGAAGAAAGATTTCCAGGGGAAAAAAATAACTTACATTACCTATAGTAGTGACTACAGCCCCAGCAAAGAAGAAACTATTGCTAAAGTCCCAGTTACTAGGATTGGTTGAATTTCCTTCAGGGTTGACTCCTTTTTCCCAGGCTTCCATAATGACCTGTCATGGAAACATTTGTAAAAGAAGGGGAACAAATGGATTGTTTAAGACTGGGAGATTATAGTAACTAAGTAGTAAAATGCATTCAGTTCCAATATTCACTATTGATAGTTTCTTCTGTAGTAATGATGAGAGCACTCATATTACTCTACCAGTGAAATGGAACTGCTTGTAGGAGATGAGTAGGCTGAGCTGGAAGATGGAGTTAAACTTGTCATCAGTTCAGAATAATTGTGTAGCCACAAGAGATCCAAGTCTAACTGTTCATCAATTCTGTTAACTTCTATTTAGTGCCAATTTAGTTTTGATTGTTAATATTTCAGATTCTGTAAATATAGCAATAATAAACTCTTCAATGCATTGAACTGAAGTAGTGTGTGCCTGACACTACTGGATGCAGTAAGAGTTGTACACAAGTCACTACACTCTTTCAGTGAGAACAATTAAAATTGTATTTAGAGCTTGTAGAGAGTTCATACTTCTCAAATGTATACATGAATGAAAGCAAAATAGTGTAATTCTGAATTGTTCTACCAAATTCTGCTGTGTAGTTTGTACCTTTAAAAAAGTAATCAGATAAGTATTAATCTACAAATGGTTAATATATAAATCTGTATAATCTATAAAAACTAGGTAGATTAAGGAAAAATGCATATTGAAGCACATGAGCTGTCACCCCAGCAAAATTCCACTGTGCATGCATGCATGCCTCCCTCCAGCCAGCTGATTATCGGGTATTTGCCATGCATGCGTGGGGGATGGGGTGCATGCGGGAGATGCACGAGCATGTGCAGGGGGTGTCGGTAGCCCGGAGGGTCGCATGCGCATGCACAAAGGGGTGAGGGAAGTGCAGGGGTGAGGGAAGTGCAGGGGTGTTGCTTACACATGTACAGGGGGCAGGGGGAGTGCGCAACCTCCCACACATGCACACACTTTCGGCATGTAATGACAAAAAGGTTAGCCATCACTGCCCTAGACCTCAATGTAACAGCAATGCCAAAAAGGCATTAAGAGTTGCTAACCTATTTTTGCGAAGCTTCTTCTCCGGTAACATTGTATTGCTAACTTGGGCATACAAAACCTTTGCTAGACCAATTCTTGAATACAGGTCATCTGCCTGGAATCCACACTGTATATCAGATATTAACACAATTGAACAGGTTCAGAGGTATTTCACGAGAAGAGTACTCCACTCCTTTACTCACAATAGAATCCCTTATGCCACCAGGCTTGAAATTTTGGACTTGGACAATGTGAACTGCGCCGCCTGTGGTCCAATCTAAGCATAGTACACAAAACTGTCTGCTAGAACATATTACCTATTAACAACTTCTTCAGCTTCAACCACAATAATACACGGGCAAACAATTGATATCAATACAAGGTAAACCATTTCAAACTAGATTGCAGAAAATATGACTTCAGCAACAAAGTGGTCAATGCCTGGAATGCTCTACCCAACTCTGTTGTTACAGCCTCAAACCCTTACAGTTTCAACCTCAAACTCTCTACCCTGGACCTCACCCATTCCTAAGCGGTCCATAAAGGGGGTGTGCATAAGTTCACCAGCGTGCCTACCATCCCTATCTTACTATCCCCATTAATCTGTATTTACTTCCTTTGTTTATGTTTAGGTTTATACTTTTAGCTGCTATTTTGTATATGTTTGACAAAATAAATAAAAGATTTAACTATCCTTAGTACCGTGTTTCTCCAACAATACGACCTCCCCCAATAGGAAGACCCAGCATGTTTTCCAGGCATAAAATGAAATTAAGGCCCTCCCCCCCAAATTTAGGCCTATTTTAAAACATGCGAAATGGGGGGAAGGGCGGGAGGACTTGCCATTAGGAGCGCCCCGCGGGCAGCAATTCCTCGCCACCAGCTGCTCCTAATGGGTGATCATGGCAGAGCGTGGAGAGCTCCCTACTCCTGCCAAACACCTTTGCTGAGGACCCAAGACCTTCAGTGCCCACTGCTGTTGATTTCCCTTCTGCCCATGCCGCTGCTCCGTTTGGAGCTGCCGCTTCCACCTTTGGAGCTGCCGCCGTGTTTGGAGCTGCCGCTTCCGTGTTTGGAACACCACCGCTGTTTGGAGCACTGCTGCTGTTTGGGGTTGCCATGTCGCCGTGTTTGGAGCTGCCGCTGTGTTTGGAGCTGCCGTTTCTGCATTTGGAGCACTGCTGCTGTTTGGAGCACCACTGCCATTTGGAGCGCCACCACCACTCCAAACACAGCTGCAGCTCCAAACGTGGAAGTGGCAGCTCCCAAAGTGATGGCGGTGCTCCAAATGGTGTCATCACTCCAAATGGCAGCGGCACTCCAAACATGGAAGCGGCAGCTCCAAACATGGCAGTGGAATTGGCAGAAGGGAAAGCAACAGTGGCGGGTGCCAAAGGTCTTGGGTCTGTAGCAAAGGTGTTTGGTGGGAGTAGGGAGATCTCCGCGCTCTGCCATGATCACCCATTAGGAGCAGCTGGTGGCAAGGCTGCCCACGGGGCACTCTAGATGAGGATGCAAGGGGGGGAATTAAGTCACCCCCAAAAAGACGGCCTAGCCGTTTTTTCGGGGCTCAAAAAAATATAAGACCTGGACTTATTTTATGAGAAACATGGTACGTGTAGCAAGATCTTGAGGGGACTCTTTCGCTGGAATCCACTGGTTGTGGATCAGCTATAGTGGGGCAATAAGAGGGATGCAGTACTTGTTTAATATCAGAATAATGCAATAAAGGGTTTAAGAAAAGACTGGAACTGTGGGAAATGGGTGACTGCAAATAGGGTATTTGTAAACAATTTAGAGGTGTATAAGTATCTTTAAAAGTTTAATTAAGGAGTAATTACTAGGCCCCTACAATGTTAAGCAGGAGAAATGGTTTAAACTCTTGTGACATAGGTATGTAGAAAGAGAGATTCTTAGACTTCGTATATGTTGATCTTTATTATGTTTTTAATTCTGTCCCTTTTAAATCATTTTATGGTTTTTGTCTGTAATCCACCCAGACTGACTTCGATAGTATGATGGGTACTGTTTAAATTTGATTAAATAAATAGGGTCAGTTATAGTTACAATAAACTTTAATGTTGTTGTGCTCCACCGACAGCCTGTGGAGGAAGCAGCAAAGTTGGACAGTGGGGAGGAACATGGGCCAGTCCGGGAGTCTGGGGAGGACTTGGACAAGGGTCTTACAGAGATGGGGCCAGGGCCATCTGGGAGTTATGTGCTGATTCTGGAGCCTCCAGAATCTGACATCAGCAAGACAGGAACAAGGGGAGCCTGTTCCCAGTGCATGTGTGTGCAGAGCTGCCAGAAGTCAAGAACAGTTAAGACAAAAGGGGTGACTCAGGAGTAAGTCTTGGAGGTGATTGGCCCTCCCATAAGACATAAAGGAGGAGCAAAGGGACAGGAACCTTTGCAGGAAGCAACTTTGTTCATACTGGTCGGTTTGAAACCTGAAGCTCTGTGTTGAATTTGTGCTTTGGTTGGCCTTGTATAACTAATTGGAAATTTAGTTGTTGGCAGCATTTCAAGGAAGATAAAGATGCATGCTTATCAGACTAATCCTGAAGGACTTCACATTCAGCAGTGTCTTGAAAGAAAGTAGTGAGAACACATAAGGCCAGTTGTTGATAAGGAAGCTTTCCAGCCTCCCATAAGAAGCTGAGTTCCATTCTTAATTGCCTGCATTTCTCATTGTCTAAATACTGTCATTAGGTTTAGAAATTATGGCAGTCCATAATGCATCTGCCTGGTATTAATTTATTATTATGATTGCAGTGCTTCAAAAGTATTCACTTAATTTTTTGTATCCTTTAAAATGCAATAAAATACTTTCATATGCATAGTGCTGAATGTACTTTCATGGGCCAATGATGCTAACTGCAGTTTTGATCTTCTTTATGATGCTTCTGATTAAATCCTCCAATACTATCTAATGATCTAGCCTTTGTTGAATCTCATTAGAAATTAGAGAAGTGCCAGCACATAAATTCCCATGCAATGGTTGGTGTAAGCAGAGAATGAGCCACATTGAGTAAGGGTATTGGGCAAAATACAATAATACTAAGTTGAATATAATAACAAATATTCAAATTGGAATGCCGATATTTGGCAAATGCATTATATTTATCAAGATTTATGCTATAAATGAAATATCAGTGCCCTCTAGTGTTTTTGTACAGTATTAACCAAAAAATAATGCTCCAAGATGAAACACGCTTACCTCAGAACATTGAGTTTTCTTTTAACAACAACAGCAAATATGTGGCATTTTCTTAATTTCTGCTTATATTGTGGAGAACAAAATGCTCAGTTTTTTCAGAGGACAAGCTATATAGTTTATCTTTTATTATAAATGCTGTAATTAAAAACATTTTGTTGCCGTAAATCGTTATCACTTCAATCAAATGTTAAAATGTTTAAAGCAAGAGCCAAAAAACCCCCCAAAATATGAGAAAGGAAACAAAATGTATTATGTTTGTATTATTTGTATTCAAAATAAAATATATATAAAAAACAAAATATGAAACTTTTATATTTCCTCAGAAACTACCATTCTTGAAAATGGTAATCAGTGTAAAATATGTATTTTTAAAAATTGCACTTAGGAGTTAATTATATCATATGATATTTACTGTTTCATCTGCAAATATTTCCTACATTCTTCCATGTCTAGATTAATGCTCTCCAACATTGAGGATCAGTAAAGAAATGGAAAATTGATTGTGGGATGGATATTCGGGAATTTGGAACTGACATTTTTATGTTGATGTTTTTTGTTAATTAAACAGCATTTATTTCTATTTTCTGTCATTTCATCTTAACTGATTTTTTTGAATAGAGATGTTCAGGAATAGTAGATGTCTGATTGGAAGACAGAATAAATGAACCCTTCAATTTAGAGTTTGTAAAACAAAGGAGATGACAATTCCTTCATGGATTTAACTCATAGTAGCCACAGAGGAAAGAAAATGGAAACCTGTAAGCTCTTTAGTAACTAAGCTAGAAGGCAAAATTAGAAAAACTCTATGCCCTTGTTATTACTTGCAAAATTGCAGAGATGGGAGGTGCATTATGATTAGAGGTGTGTCAGTTGACCTTCCCCAACACCTACAATCTGTTTGGGAAAAGAGATTAATGCAGCTCTAAGACCTTACAATATGATGGGAAGAATCACAATGGGGATAGAAAAGATAGCAGATTTTTTTTGCCAAGCTAAATGGAAGGAAAAAGCTTCCTTTGAATTACTGCATCATGAATTGTTAACAGAATGCATAATGTTCATATGTCTAGATCAAATTCACACATATTAGCCATAATGGGTCTGCTTTGGTTCTGTCAATATGCATTGTGGTTTGTAAACCAGGGTTTATGTCTTACAGTTACGCATAAAGAAGTTGCAGTTGTAATGTTATCTTCTACTGGACTAAAGAGAGTTGGAAGTTGATGCCTTTTTCTTCACCTTTTCCCTCTTTAAACCATATTTCTTTTCTTTTCCTTCCCTCTCTTCCTAGTTTTTCATTACTTTTTTTTGAATTTCTCTTTGCATTTTGATAAACCAATAAAAATCATGTTAATAAAAAAAGAATATGCAACCAACTCAGCCTAATCACCAAATAGAATATAAATATTCATAAATGGCACAGTAGCATGGCAGAGTGTTCTCAAGAAAACTACATGCACTGCTTGGCCTTAATAGGAAGGGAAAAAAGGAAATATAATTTCAATTGGAATGATGGGAAATTATAATATACAGCCAGGAAAAAGTCCATACAGATAAGCACTTATTTGTTAATCAGACTGTAGAAGGAGGCCTTATAATAGAAGAGTATTTCTGTTGCACTTTCATTGGATAAAGGGAAGATACTTATGAAGATTGAATTATTTCTCAACAGAGATGCTCTGGCTAGACCACACAGAAAATTAAACAACTGATATTGACAATCAGGAATGCATATTAAATGGACAAACTTTCTCCAACTCTCTGACCATTTGGGGTTAGGTTTGATAATCTTTAAAAGACAAATTCTCTTTAAAATGATGGGCCAAGTCAAGGCCAGCACACTCTATGCATTAGCCATCCATTCCTGAGATGCAACTCCATGTTAATATTGGCTGTGTGGATAGACGCTGATAGTAAAAGGTTGTCCTTACCTGCACAAACTGTTCCAGAGCTTGACGATCCAGGCATGTATAGTTTTGCAGGAACATAAGCTTCTTCATTTGGAACCGGTTTCGACTCTGAGCTTCTGCCTGCTTCTCTAGTAGTTGGAACATCATGGCTCCCAGGAGGAGGTAAAAGAGATACCCAAGCACCAGTGTCAGAGTCCAGCTAAGCTGCCGGTTACACACAATGAAGTAGGGCATGGTTGTTGGTGGGCAGGCAGACCTGACCTAGTAGAGCCAAGCGTTATTCCATGGGTTAATGTTCTTCCTCCAAAAGGCATAGAAGAATTGCACAGCTGTCTTTTCAGCATACACAGCTAAGATCTTGTTTAAACAGCTTGTGAGCATCAGGTCTAGACAACATGAGACTAAAGCAAACAGATTTAACTCCCACCTCTTTTCTTCAGTTGGGGGTAAAATCACACTGGTTTGTGGCTGAATTTCTGGTAAGAGTGATGCATTTTTGTTAACAAAAGACAGACAAAGTATTTCTCACATTTGAGAATTAGCAAATTGGGCTAAAAGACCTATAAATGGACTTAACTAGCATCATTGGAAGTTTCTGTCCTGCCAGTGACAAACAATAGGATAAGCTACAGTAGCAATCTCCAGCTTCATGCCTTCCCAGATATGTTGAACCTTAACTTCTATAATTCCTAGCTTCAGTGCTGAATGATGCATATTTTCTTTTGTTTGCTTGTTTGCCATTTCTACAGTATTAGCAATTTGGAACATCATATCAAATAGCAGTTATATAGCACTGGGCAGGAACAGGGCACAGCAACTCCTGGCGATATCAGAATTAGAAACCAAGTATCCTTCCAAAATGTGCATTTGAAAAGTCACATGCAAATAGGAAAAGCTGACATAAAAGTAATTTAGGGCAACCATGTTTAAGTCACTTAAGTGTTGCTAAAACTCACAGATAAGGTATCTTGCCATCAGATCCAAGACCTGTGGAAATGGAAAACCTGAAGAGGAACTGAAATCCTTCCCTGCACTGGGTTCACAAGAGAGGTTCAGGTAACCTACTCTATTCCTCTCCCACCTGTTCTGAGCACACATGAGAGAGCAAAAAGCTAAATAAGCAATATGTGTCCTAGTGCCAAAGTACAGTAGCAATGTGTCCTCTGTTATCACCTATGATAGAAGTGCTTTGTTACCATCTACACATGTGGTTGCTGTGGGAAAGGGCTCTCCGCATATCATATACACAGACACAGCTTCTTGGTGTAGCTTAGGCCAAACTCTTCACTCAAGGAGTGACATCACTGTATACTTCAATCTACACAGTGCCTAGTGGACAATGGGATTTTTTTTTCTACTCCAGATGATGCTGGATGGGAATGATTATTGTTATTAATTTAAATTTTAATGGATTACCTGCCATGTAATACATCTCCAAATGGCACGTAAAACTGGAAAATACCTTAACATGCAAAAACATATAAAGCACAAAATAATAAGCATTACAACAACACTTTTTCAAAACATTGAGGTGAATACAGTTTCTTCATGTGCCTAACCAAGTTAGTATGATCTGGATGAATAATTTCTAATAATTTAACTAGGCTGCAGCCTTAAAGCTCTCCATGCTCCTCCTCCACATGGGGTTGAAAGCATGAGTGAATGTAAAACTGTTTAATACTTGAATGGCCCTGGCAATTTTATGGATTAACAAGAATCATATGTAATAAAATTGTGTGTTGCCCAAGTATCAATGACTCTTAAATAAACAAACTAGTTCAACATTATGTTGACTGATATTATGGAGGGAGATACTCCAGTTGTTTCAATACCCAAGAAGCCATAACATGTAGGCTTAAAAGATGATATAGGGTCAGCTCCAAAGGTGGTATTCAGCAGGTTCTGACCAGTTCTGGAGAACCGGTAGCGGAAATTTTGAGTAGTTTGGACAATCGGCAAACCCTACCTCTGACTGGAGATTTTACAGTATCCTTCCCCTGCCACGCCCACCAAGCCACGCCCACAGAACTGGTAGTAATTTTTTTTTAATCCCACCACTGGCCAACTCTTTAGGGGCCCAGATCTTGATGGTCTGGTTTGTCAGTGGGGTTCTTCTCTGACTTGAGAGGCCCTTATTCTTCAAGTACTCTGCTTTAGGGGACCCTGATAAATTGTCAATTGTACGTTCATTGATAGATGTTCTCCAGGGAATCTCCAAAGAATCACACAATTCCTTGTCCTGGGCAATTGTTATAAAATACATTTAAAATTTTTAAGAAGCAGCTCCAGTGGCCTAAAAGAAACAGGAGGAAGCAAATCAGGAAGCAGTGCAATGTGGATGTTTTCACCACCAATCTATATATTCATTGTAATTAATTTTGTTAGTCATTTGGAAGTGTTTGAATGGAAAGGTAGTATGTAAGTTTACTACGAGGGAGGAAGGGATAGAGAAATCATGGCAGTCAGCCTCAGTGATATGACTAGTACCAGAGCAGCTTTATTTAGTGAAATCCAGCTCTCAGTGGCTATTAAAAAACATCTGAGATCATTCCTTGAATGACTGGCACTTTTTCATTCAAGGTCTGCAAATTGCATTAGTCAGAATTTTGTAGTTAAAACCAAAGTCTGATTACTGGTGTAGAAACAAACCCATTTAGTCAGGTGAATGGCAGAGATTTCTAATGTGTTTTGACAGGATTATTATCTCTAATGGTAGGAATGAAGTAATAAGTTAAAAGAATGTTAAAGTAGCATGCACTGCTAATCAATCAATGGGAAATAAAATAGAGGTATTTTATAAAAATAACAAAGACTCCTACATAAGACATGTCAGAAGATGGTTTTACCATTAGGTTTTGATTGAAAGCAGACAAGGAGAAATATTTATTTTTAAGAAAACTATTGTCCAGGCAACAGAGAAAATATGTCACAGAAAGACTTGAGGATTAAAGTAAACCACACAGCCCTAAATGTTTATTCAGAAGAGCCTAACTAATTCTAAAATTAATGGGGCTTCATCTCAAATAAATGGGGTATAAAAGTGCAATCTAAATGCCAAATTTCATTCTCAATGTGGAGTTCCTGATATTCTCTTGTCATTTATTGCTAATGATTTAGATTTTTAGATTTAGTCAAGAAAGATAAAGATTAAACAAAAGTAAAAATTCACATTGTACCCCAAAGCATTTCATATATCCTAGCTGCAAGGGGCAAATGTCCTCTGATGTCCTTAGGTGGCATATAAATTTAATGAACATGGGAAAGTTTGAGTGCCAAAGTTGTTGAGACAAAACTTACCAAAATATAGGACAAGTGCTGTCTATGTTCAAGGTGAAAAATAAGTGGCAAAATTCAATTATCATACAGGGGTAGAAGAAGGATACACAAATTAAAACTTGGGGCTGTTGTAAAAGGACGTGATCACTTGATTCTGCAATGCCTAATTTTCTACACAATTAGGATTCTTGGATCAACAATAACAACTATATGCCTTTCCAAGTATTATCCTTGACTGCTGAATACTGGTTTTAGTTCCTAGAGAGGAATTTACTGCAGAGCATAAATTGACCAATGTCATGAGGGCACTGAAGGTCAATGTCTATTAGGTCAGCTCGTGGAACTGTAGCATATATGGAAGAAAGCAACTTGTAATATTGTCTGGGTTTCTAGAGAGTAGTTGCTTTGCCCTGGTGAAGCTTTGACAGGAAGAGTGAATGAGCACTTTGAATTGGGAAGAAAATGTGTAGCTATGGAATTCCATTTTTACAGCCATCAAAACTGCTTTGTAATAATAATAGACATTAAGTTCTAATTCTAATATATGGTTAACATAGGGATTGTTTCTTTTAATACAAATATCTCCAAGAAAATTTTGGAAAAACCTCAGTCCTCCAGTATGTGATACTTTTCCTTTTTGCATAGGTTTCCACTAAGTATTCATTCATTCATTCATAATTTATTCATTCATTCATTCAAGTAGCCCTTGTCCTTCAATGTTAAACCCACTTTCTGGGTATAAAATATTATAAGGAGGAGGAATACAAATATTTTGCTCAAGGAGGAAGGATTAATAACTGCCTTTGGAATCTGCATGCTTGCTCCTTCATATTTGTTCATTATCATAACAGTCATGATGTTTTCTTGGCTTGGCTGATGCTTCTTCAGTTCTGTTAATGCAAGACATTTCTTTCTTTCATTCATTCATTCATTCATTCATTCATTCATTCATTCATTCATTAATTCAATTTCTATGGCTGCCCATCTTAATAACTGGGCAGTTTGCATGCTCGTACCATGGATGTCATCCCAGATCAGCTTTATGGTGATTGGCTTGGCTTGGTGAACATCACATAGCCTTTTGGTGTCTGCTCTTGGTTTTGACTTCTTGTACAAGTCAATTTTATCTCAAAAGGCTGTGCAGGAGAATTTTTAGGGACCATATACCATACTTTCACACATAAATTGATCCCAACAAGGTGAATATGCTATTTTTCACCATTTAAGTACTCAGCATCTACATTAATCCATTCCTTGACCTTCAGACCTTGACGTTTCTGCTTTATGCTATGCAGTTATTTTTTTTTTTTCATTCATTGGATTTATTTCAGTATTTTCATTAGAGGATAGCAGCTCACCACAAGAAATCACAAGGATAACTTGTTTTTTAAGAGTATAGCTCCAACTCAGCTGAGATTATAGTTGTTCCTTCAGTATAACCAAATGTTTTTAAAATCACCAATTTAACATGGTTTTTCATTGTGACTTATAGCTCGCGTGCTCACCAAACCAGGCGTTACACTGTTTGAATTGCACCACTCTGTACTATCTATGCATAAACAAAGAATTTTGATTTTGAAACATTTTTTTTTCTCAGATGGATTCCTGTTGCTTATATTTCTTTCTGCATTATCCTATTTGCTATAGATGTTAGTAGTAAATAGCAAATTCCAAAGGCTACTCACCAAGCACAATGATCTGGAAGTACAGGCACAAATTATTGCATCCTAGTAAATATTATTGTATGAAAGCAAAGAAAAAAAATTGCAATATCATTTCCACTGGAGTTTTTTCTACATGGGAATAAAATGAATGCAAATCTCAGAAGATTGCAATTTGTATAAGTCCCATTCATTTGAATAGAGCTTGTTCAGAAGACATTCTTATCATTTTTTCTGCTGGTTATTATATACGAGACATTAGATAATAATCATAAATATAGCGAATATATATAGAAC